TAACAAACCTGCATTTAAAAACCAAATAAAGCCTTCCGTGGGGGCGGTTCACCACTTCCCCTTTTTTAACATGCAGGAACTAATTTAGCTGAGAGGATAAAAGCAAGAGCTGCCTACAGATATGCAAGGAAACTAGGTCCAAAGACACGAAATGCCTCGGTGGCAGGGTGGCCTGGGCAGAAAGAGCGCTCTCTTAGAATGACATGGATGGCGACCAAAGAGCCTGCATCTGTGTTTGTATTGAAGTAGACTGAAGAGGGAAGAAAAAGTACCCCACATGGCTTTCAATTAGAACTATCTTCTAATTGCTTAATTTTACATCCACTTTCCATTTTGCCAATGTGAAGATATTCAAAAATCCAAAGCCAACATGAAGGGCCATTACCAGACTATCAACCACATCAGAAGAATAAAGACAGATGACCAGACCCTGGACTCTTCCCCACAGAAAGAACTTGTGAAATACCATATCCTCTATGAACCCTTCCCTCTTTAGAAAAGCTGTCATTTGATCCCATCCCTGATGGCCTGAGTGTAGCTTCTACACCAAGCATCTCGTCACACTGTGCCCTGGTTCACTACATATTAACACTGGCAAATGCACTTCAAGCATGTTCACTTTGTCAAACATCTACTTGAGCGCACATCTATGGGATATATTGTGCTCACTCTGACAAATTATAAACCACAGGAATATTGGGTACAAGCCTCACTAGCTCAACATGTATATTTTCTAATAGTGTCTCCATGTAATAAAAATTCTATAATTTCAATAAAATGAGTGGAAGTGTGCACAGATAATAAAGGGCAGGCTCTGACCATCCTTTGTGACTCTTCAGCCACGTTTTTATGAGGCTATTTACAAAGGAATATTTCTCTTCAATTTTTCTATAGGTCTTCCTCTTTTTTTTCAAAATAAACAAAAGTCTCAGCAATAAATCCTATTTTTTCATTCAAAGGAAAAAACTATGGTCAAAAATGTGTTGCTTTACTAGTAAAGCTTTGCATCAGTTTGAGAGCAGTTGGGCAACATGTTTTTTAGTCTATTATCACTTCTTTTTTAAAAAGATGAAGTCTAAATACCAGATTGGAAGAAAACGTACATGCAGGTTTGCTCATCTAAAAGGCACAGGCACTAGGCAGAAATATGAAGTAAATGATTAACATTTTCAGAATTTGACTTCCTTTCACCTGTAACTGTTGCACATTTTCCCCTATGACTGACTCCTTAGGATATCCCAGTGTGATAAACCATTATATTTCTTTTCTACCTTCTTCATAAATGTTTTTTTGCAGGGATGGCATTGTATCAAAACTCTTTTTTTTATCCATATATTTCATTTCTCCAATTCGCACTCTAGAAATACACTTACTCTTTTAAGGGGTATTTAGGAGATAATGTCTTAACCCAAGACAAATTTGGGGATTTTTCAAATTATGTGAACTCTCTATGTCACTGATCTTAACTGTTTGGTTGCAGATATGAGTTTATAACTTGCCTAAATGTTTTTAAGCAAGTTCAAAAGTAACAGGAAAAAAACACAATTAGTTCTCTTACACAGCTAGGGGGTAAATGCAATTCTCTCATACTCCTAAAAGGTATCGAAAATGTGACCCTCACAAGGTAAAGCATGATAGTGTATTTGGCCTTAACATGTTTACAATTTCACTCCATCTATATCACTGTCAATGAGAAAAATTAAGTGACTTCCCTCTTAAGCTCCTCCCGACCCTTGTGTTAGAGGAAAATTCTTTTTCCAGGGATAAAGAACGAGCCCTTAAAACATAATGCGATCTCTTTCTTATTCCCAAAAGCTCTTAGCAGAAGCAACATCAAATGCTACTCTGCACAAAATAAGTCTTGCTGATTTTTAATGGGTCACAAACTCCTCCCTACACCCATAGTTTGTCATATAATCTTGTAAATCTTCCAATCCTTAGGTGGAGCCTATTTCTCCACCCTTTCAATCTGGATCAGTCACATGGCTTGAGCCACTCCCTGGCACTTTAGCAAATATAATACAGAGGAGGATTGAAAATGCTTTGCGCTTTAGAACTGGCCTTGTTGCTCTAGGAACACTTTGGCTGTCACATGAATAAGTCCTGTGGGATCATCGTGTTTGCGGGATGCCACTGGGCTTGCTGTGTGGTAAGAAAAGGCATGTGCTGGATGTCAAGAGATACGCAGCCTGTACGGTCCTATCGCTCCAACTACCAGTGATCCGTGCAAGTGAGGCCACAAGCACTGTGTCCCAGTCAAACTACAACCCGACAGCAGACACATCTGGAGGCCCAGGGAGCTACAGTGTGGAGCAAAATCACAAGATATTCTCAGCGAGATTACCAACTTGTAGATTCATACACTAAATAAACAGTTGTTGGTTTTTTGTGTTTGTTTTGTTTTTTGTTTTTGTTTTTGTTTTGTTTTTTTGGTTTTTTGAGACAGGGTCTCACTGTGTAGCTGAGACTGACCTGGAACTCACTGTGCAGCCCAGGCTGGTCTCAAATTCACAGTGATCCTCCTGCCTCGGCCTCCCAAGTGCTGGGATTACAGGCGTGCACCACCACGTGTGGCAAGCAGTTGTTTAAATCACTAAGTTTTGGTATGGTTTGCAACACTAAAAGCTGATGGGATGACTCTATGGGAAGGGAAACAGGATTTGTAAAGAAATACTTAATTTCTCAATCTGAGCTTGGATCTTACTATTCCTGAAGATTAATATTTGCTCTCATAGAAGTGTACACATTTGGCCTTAGCACTTTGTAGTTCAATAAATGTGCCTTCTACAGTTCACATTAGTACAGCTGTTCACAAGAAACTTCAGCCTAGAAAAATGTGATGATATGGACTGAAGAGTAAGAAAACCAGAGCAAGAGTATGGGATTACATTTTGCCTGAATCCTTTGACAGACCAGAGAATGCTAGAAGCTCTTCTTCAAATGAAGACTTCAGACTGGACACACTGGGGGGAAAGAGTTGGACACCAAGAGAGCATTTCTGCTAATGGGATGACACTTCATGAGAAAGGTGGTTGGAGGTTCTCACCCAGAGAGCTGAAGATCCTAGAAAGAGAACAGGAATCTCAGAAGTAGAATCAACAGGAGAGAAATTCTCGCGAGATCGCCTTGTGAAGAATCCAAATTACATACCTATTCTCCGGTAGTCCAGGAAATGTAGTTTAGCAAGTTTCTAAGAAATTGCTACAAATTTGCACTAAAATAGATTTTAAGGATTTTCCCAGCTTGGTGTGGAGATCCTGCAAAGATGGCTTAGAATAGCTGGAAAATAATGCACAAAACTGAGAAAGGCCGAGGAGAACGAGAATGACTGCACTTTCTTGCCCTCCCTCCCCCACACCACAGCAGAGGAAGTTAACTGTGAAAACGTGGTCGGAAGCTATCTGGGTTTTAATACCTAGAAGCAGGCAAGGTGCTTGGGGTCAAGAATTATTCAGAAAATGTTTCCAAGCAAATCTCTTTGCACTTGTATATCTTTTTCTGCTGACAGAGTCACTCCGACAGGATTCCTGATTTCAAGATGAAGTAATGAACAGATATAAAATACTAAACCAACATGGAACTAGTTTCATCTTCATTAGAACTAGCACTTTAAATAATGGCCCTCTCTTCCTTGGAAGCATAGTTTTGTTTTTGGTATCATGGTTATTTCTGAACACTTATTACACTTTCTGGTAGGCTTCAAGCCACTGGAAAGAGAGAGTGGTATGCTAGCTATTGATAAATATCCAAAGACCAGGGCTACACAAAACTTTAAGTAGCTGTTCAATATTCTTTTGTTCTAATGAAGAGATGAGAGAATCAATTCTTGAATATTTACACAATCAACACATACCTGAAGGCAATGAATTAAATTATTAAGTAAAGTGATTTCAACTCAGGAATGAAGAGAGTTACTGAGAGGTTCTGGAAATAATGAGTAAAATCTAGGAAAAAAATAATAAGAGACAGTTTGTTGAAATAAGTCTGAATTCATCAGTGAAGGTGCCATTCATTCAGAATAGTTACTCATACATCCAGCTTAAAGATGCACTTTAGGGGAAAACATCTACCTTTAAACACAGTAATTTAAAAATATTTCTTTGATGTTAATTCATCTACTTGTAATTTCTGCACTGAGTATAGTATTTCCAAGACAAAAGAGAACCAGAAGACACTAAGTTGTAAACAAAGACAATTCTGGACTAAAGAGATCATTTCAACATAGACGTCAAGTGTTATACTATAATTCTCACCTTTTCTCCTCCTTGGACATCCCTGCTCTGTTTTATTATTATTATTATTACTATTATTATTATTATTATTATTATTATTATTAGGGAGGAATCCAAGCAAACCACATGATTATTAGAAAAGGTTCTGAAAATTCTTATTTCTGCAGGGGGGGGGTCAGTCTCCATGTTAATTAGAACCTTAATTTTAATCAAAATTAAATCATTTTGAAACACATAGATGTCATTTCAGTTCTCTGAAACAGTCACAAAAGCTAAGTAATCTCTTACAGGCAATCCATAAGCAAGATACAGGAAATACTTGGTGCATTTTCCTGTCTCTAAAATTACAACTGGCAAATCTGATTTTTGTCCTGGTAAGATAAATAAATTTAAAGAACTGAAGGTTCTTTTTTTTCTGGCCCTTGTCATTCATTTCAGAGATGATTCTGACATCTCAAAATACACACACACACACACACACACACACGCACATATAATGGCAAGAGCAGATTTAAACAGGCACACTTTCAAAGCTGAGCAAAAAAAAAAAAAAGATTAAATGTTCAAACTACAAATTGAACATCTAAGAGATTTTAGAGTAAGTTCCCTTTGAAAATTCAGCCCTTGAGAGATGATAGTTCACTTTCCATCCCACTTCAATTTTCATCTCATTTTTGCTATTTTCACAGAGCTTGCGGAAACTATTTCTCCTCTGAGGTTGCACTTTAGCACTACATCGAAGAGCAGAAACCACTTTTTTCTCCTTACCTTAAACATCAGCACAATCTGAAGAAGTACCTTTACCTCGCTCCTGTGGTGAAGGTTTGGTCACGTGTCTGTAGACAAATTTCCAAGTCACCTCTCCCACATTCACGTTTGAACTGTTCATCTGTCACACACACGTATTAGCCCACTGCGTCCACAAATCCTTTACAGAAGAAGTCCACGGCATTTCATTTTGAATGACAGCAATTTGTGGGAACAGCAAGCAGTAAAACTACAGATATTTGCATATACTCTGAGAAACTGTATAATCTGCAAATCCTATTTTACCAGCAATTTAGCAACACATGTTACCACATTGCGACCACTGGCACTGCAAAATTCAGCCTTTTGTATAATGCAGACTTTTTCTGAAATGGTGTTTTTAGATAGTAGCTCTTAAATTTTGACTAACACTAGCCACTGTTTAAAACCCTAACCCTTAGCAATCGAAGTAGAGACCATCATTTCTACCTAATGTGGCTTTAATGAATTCAGATGAAGGTGGGAGAAAAAGAAAGAAAAAAGGGAAAGTAAGCAAACAAGAAAAGAGAAGAAAAACCAGAAAGAAAAATAAGAGTTCTCTCCTGGCTTAGTTGAGTGAAAAGAGTACTGAATTTCTAAATGAAGCTTTCTTGGAATGAGCACAGAACAAAGAAACAAAAATATTTTTATATGCAAATGTATTTTATATCCATGCGTGGAAGTAAAAAGCAGAAGCTGTGTGAGTAGAAGCTGCAACTCTGGAAAGACAAAGTGTGACACCTATGTTTAAAAACCATTTATTGAGCAGACATGAAATGAGTTCAGGCGCTGTTCCTGACAAAACTGTCAAGTACAGGAGCATCACCATCACGGAGAGAAGCTGTGGCATTTAAAGTCAGCGCTTGCATTTGCCAAGGTGGTACATGAGTGTAACCCAGCCACTGAGGAAGCAGGGAAAGGAGGACCACAAGGCCGCCCAGGGCTACAAGGCAAGGACCAGTCTCAGATCGTAACAGAATTTGTAAAGGCTGGAGATACAGCTCACCGGTAGAGTCTCCCTGTGTTCAAGTACCAATACCCACCAAATCAGTAAAAGATATCTACCACAGGTAAAGCCCTGAAAAGTCGGATGACAAAATTTACACATGTGCAGTTTGTGAAATGAGAAAAGTAGATCTGAAGTTTTTGTAAGAAGCATTTTGGTAACAGTTTGAAACTCTTAGGCTGAAAGAACCAGAATTTATGCAGAGCGCCCCCAAGGAACTTATGTTCATCTATTCTTCTGGCCTTCAGACTTGATTTTAGCCAAGGAACCACCAGTCCAAGCAGAAAAGAAAAAGATGATATCGGATCCCTAGAGCTGCCTTACTATTAGACATTTAATCACCAAGTAGCAGACCAAGGGGCTCCTTAAAATAAAATCTCTAATTAAACTGTCACCAGAGCATTGGGAGCAAAGGGGAAATGAGGTGACGTAGAGAAAAGTCCTCTCAATACTGCCTATCAATAGCCCAGGGACCTTACGCGCCTCTGGGGACGATCTGAACCCGAACCCCAGGCTCACCTCCAGCCACAGGGCTCCAGCGACCAACTTGAGACCGCACCCATCTCTGCTATTTCCTGGAACTGCAACATCTCTGAAATTTTTATTTCTAATGCCCTTCTTGGGGCCACAGCCCCCGTCCTGGCTCAGCCATTCCCTTCACTGCAGCCTTTCTACCCCATGGAAACATTGATTCTTTTGGAAAGCTAAGTTTTCTTTGGGGAGGGGTGTCCCTGCCACCCCTAACCTGCACAGATCTCAGAAATCACTTCGCGCCGGGGATTTAGCTCAGTGCTTCCGTCGCCTGCCTCGCAAGTGCAAAGTCCCGAGTTCGATCCCTAGAAACAAAAAATTAAAAAGAAAAAGAAAGAAAGAAATCACTTCACCTAGGCTTCCCAGCACTTTCATAGCAAAATCAAAAACGGCAATATTTTTGTCACACTCAAGTGTGTTTGTGCTAGCCTGAGATTTCTGGCTCCCAGAGCTGAGAAGCACTTAATCTCTGTGCTCTGCTGTGTGCTGCAGATACAGGAGACACTGAACGTTTTTGTGAAGGAAAAATCTGGGAGGCTCTGACTTAAACCATGTTTTGCTAATTCCCTCAAATCCTTTCGCTCTTATTCTCACAATCAAACTACCTTTGGCCCCACAAAAGTAACTTTAACTATGAGCTTCCTCTGCTCCTGAATATAAACCTAACTATTCCGGAGGAGACAAAGAAAACTAGTACCGACACGATACATGCGTCTCAAAGTTTAGGGAGGATTTCAGTTCGTCTGAAAATGCTTTCACGTGCTCCTAAGCAGCCCCCTCTCCAGCTCCCCACTTGAAAAGTTCACCATTCTCTCAAAGATCTTGATGCTGGGTTCCCAAAGACTCTTAGTTGTTCTTCACGAAGACATCCTGTAAGGGCATCCTGTCAGTGCCTCCGGCTTTCTCCCACACACTGGTCCTGGAATCCAGGAACTTCATCTTCTCAGGTTTCTATGAAAGAAACACCCAACTGCGGGCTAATCCTTCCCTCCCTCACTCGTGTCTCACTTTCTCTGAATTCCTAGAGGATGCTGTCCCGTAAATTAGGCACCTCCTTTCCTGTACCTGGCATTTTTTAAAAGGACTATAATTCTTCATTCCCTATTTCTCCTCTTCCCACCAAAAGCATTTTAACTCAAGGATCATACACATTTAATATCTCTTCTTCACCCCCCACTGAGCCCCCATATGAAAATGTCTCTGCCCACCTTCAATCCTCTGCTTTTTGCACCTTCAAGATTGCTCATAACCTCCTCATTCTTCACGCCCTGCCATACCCTCCAGTCCAAAGCCTCCTGAGCCTTACGTACACCTCAAGACTTGACTCACTGTAGTAATTCCCTACCCCTCTGGATCTCTGGGATACTATTCTTTTCTATTTTTCCAGATATTCCTTTCAAAGTCTATTATGGTTCCCTCTTTTTGTACCACCATTTGCCTTGGAAAGCTAGTGTGCTGCCGAATTCATTGTGAATCCTCTCTTCTCACTTTACTTACTTTCTTCATGGTTCTTTCCTAAGATCCTGATTTTAAACACCCCCTATAGGCACTTGAAATCCTGTGCTTCTCTGTGTCTGTCACTAGGGTGCAAATATGTTGAGGACAGGAACTCTTTTCTGCTTCCTCATTATATTTCTGGCATCCAGGACCTAACAGGTAATAAAGAAAAATTTGTGGAATGAGTGAAGGAATTTCAAATCTGTATTTTTATCCCAGACCTAAATTTAAGTTCAAGAAGCTTTCCACACTGCCTGCTTTCATTTTCTGTTCCAGTGTCACCTGTGTCCCCAGCACCTGTGTCTCCAGCACACACACACCCAGCAGTCAAGGGGAGCAGCCAGAATCTACGTCTTAGCATAGCTCTGTGGTTCTCCTCTCACAGCTAACAGTATGGACAGGAAATTAGTGATTCATAGACGTGCACAGATGTGAGGCTTGAAGATATTCTCAGGGCTTACTGATTTTGTATCTTGTGCAAACCATAAATGCGTGCCTTTTTATATTTGAACACCTGCCTTTTAATTTGCTTAAAACTACTATGCTGTTTCTCTGATTTTTTTTCTTCCTTTATAAAAAAGTAAATGAGCTGTCAGTTCTTTTCTGGAGGCCTCTTGGATGTTGTCTTTTCCTCCCCAGAACAGGCAAGGGCGTCTAGACCAGCAGTGGTGAACCTTGGAGACACAAGTGCCCAGCTGAAGTCCAAAACTGGTTTGTTTATTGTGAAGTGACGACACAGTGATTAAACCTGAATACCGAGATTTTAGTTTAGAAAAAATAACTCACACATTAATGTCTTTTGTCTTAAAGGGAAATCGACACACAGGCCATAGGTTAGCCGCCACGGGTCCAGAGGCCACCTGCCTGACACACCTCAAGCTCACATTGTGCAAAGAGGCTTTCACTACTGCAACATTGACTGAGTAATTTCTTTGTTTCAGCCCCTATTTAATGAGCTACCAGAGGATGAGAATGCTGTCCTGTTCTCTTATATTCTCTCCCTTCAGTGCAGTGCCTGGTACACAGTAAGTACTTAACCAATAAGTTTGGGCATATAATACTGACAATTGGAGGATTCTGTTAATGATATGGAGTATTAAGAATGAAACTCTTCAGAAATTAATGAAGCGATAAGCCATTAAGTTTTCATTTAGATCACAGTTTATTTACTTGCATTTACTGATTTCCAAAAGGTTAATAAGATAATAAGGTCATTCACTTAATAAGTGCCACAAAGCAAAACGGCTCACTCATAGCATATGTCTACTATATTTTGTCCATTGTTTTACATAATGCCCTAAAATGACGTAGTAGAGCTCCACCTACAGTTTCTCTTGACACTCTTTTCTGTCTTTCCATTTTTTATTCTGACTCCTGCCCGAATGTGGTCCTAAAAACTAGAATTCTGGCAGCCCTTTTGAACCTAAGACAAAGGCCAATAGCTAGAGGTGTAGCCCAATGGTAGTGTGCTGCCCACCCAGCTTGAGTCCAACCCTCGGTACCAAGGGGAGGGAGAAGGGGTAGGGGAGAGAGAGAGAGAGGAAAAAATGAAAAAAAAAAAAGAGGAAGGAAAAGAAAATAGCCAAGATAATCATAAAGATGTTTGCCCTAGATTTTTAAGCTACTAGACAGCAACCACCTACCTCGTCATTACAAGAGAAAATAAATCCCTGTGTGTTTGAATCACTGACTAAAATATTAGTTATATTAGTCACATTCCTGATATAAAAACTGCATCACTCCTAGTACCTGTGTTCTTCCCTCCCACACTCTTGTTGCACCCCCATTCCCCTGCTGACACAGCGCAGCGCTTATACACACATCCGATTTGTAAGTTGGCCAGAACATGGAATGCCACAACTTGAGACTCATTTCCTTAGTATAAATCCTACGAATGACTGTTGATGTTGTCTTTTCCTCCCCAGAACAGGCAAGGGCGTCTAGACCAGCAGTGGTGAACCTTGGAGACACAAGTGCCCAGCTGAAGTCCAAAACTGGTTTGTTTATTGTGAAGTGACGACACAGTGATTAAACCTGAATACCGAGATTTTAGTTTAGAAAAAATAACTCACACATTAATGTCTTTTGTCTTAAAGGGAAATCGACACACAGGCCA